TCTATCTATCTATCTATCTATCTATCTATCTCCCTGCTGCCCCCTGCTGGAGGGGATGGGACCTGCCCCTTGTCTGTGTGTGTGTTGGGGGTATTTTTCAGGCTGTCTGTTTCTCTAAGTTGGGGGTATGGTTGTTCCTCCCTCCCTCGGCCAGCCACTCTCTCACCCTCTTTCGTTGTAGGTACCCCACATCATGAGGCCATTGTTGGGAGCCCTCCCTGGCCCCCTGGCTCTGCTCCGCACCCCCAGCAGCTCGTTTGCTTCCTGGGAACACCCGGAGCCTCTCTGAGTCAGGGGACTGGGAGCACATCCCGATGCCTGTAGCCAGAGATTCCCAAGGCCTGCTCTATGCCTGTTGGACACTATACCTGTAGCTGGGGAACTCCTGGGCTGTAGAACACCAAGAATTCCAAGCCTGGCAGCACACAGTCGTACCAGGTGGTTGCAAGTCTAGAGGGCTCTGTCTGCCTGTAGCCAGAGAACTGACCACTCTCTGCATGTAGCTGGAGAAATACAGTCCCTGTATATACCTGTCACCAGAGAACTCCAGGACCGCTGTACACCTGTAGCTGGAGAACTCCAGGACCACTGTATGACTGTAGCTGGAGAACGCCAGGACCGCTGTATGCCTGTAGCCAGAGAACCCTGGGATGGCTGTACACCTGTAGCCAAGAACTCCAGGACCATTCTACACCTGTAGTTACAGAACATAGGACTCGCCTGTCACAAAAGACCCCTGGACTTATTGTATGCCTGTAGCTGGAGAAATCAAGGACTGTTGCACACCTGTAGCCAGAGAACTCTCAGCCCCCATCTGCCTGTAAAATACAGAGACTCCTAGGTCACAGCATGGCTGTGCAGAGCCAGAACCAAGTCATTGCAGATTTGGAGGCCACTGTCTGCCTGTAACACATGGACTCCAGGACCATACTACATCTGTGACCAGAGAACTCCAGGAGCCACATACAGGTGTAATCAGACAGCCTCCATACCCCAGTAGCTACAGAATTTCAGGCTGTAGGGCACCATACAACCATAGCCAGATTACTGTAGGTGTTGAAGCAACCATACGCCTGTAGCCAAAGATGTCTGGGACTGCTATATGACTGACCCCCACTTTACATATGTGGGTGGAGAAGTCTGGTCTTTTGTACCACTGTAACACTGCCGTATGCCTGTAGGGGACAACTCCAGGATGTCTGTATAATATCTATCTATCCCCGTACACCCCATCTGTATATCCATTGAATGGTTGTAGGTGGAGATGTCTGGGATTTGTGTATGACTGCAGCTGAAGTACACATCTGTAGCCAGAGAACTCAGAGGTCGCTGTCTGACTGTAAACCCTCCCCCCTCCCCCACCACCATGTGCCTGTAGGTGGAGAACTCCAGGACTGGCACACTGCTGTAGCTCCACTGTCAACCTGTAGGAGGAGAACTCCTGGTTCTTCGTACGCCTGTAGCTAAACTACTTGACCGCAGACAGAGAAGCCGGGGATCTCCCTACGACCGTAAGGGGCAGGACTCCAGGAGTGGCATGTGACTGTTGCCCCGCCTGTAGGTGGTGAAGTCTGGGACCTCACTCCAGCTGTAGGGGAAGAACTCCAGGACCGACGTAGGACTGTTAGTCCCATTGTCTGCCTGTAGGAGGAGTGGAAGTTGCTGCTCCAAATGGCACCCTGACCCTGTCACCTACAGCCAGCCCCGTGCGGTGGGGCCGGCCCCGGCGATGAGCGCAGGGTCCTGTGGGTAGCCGGTGCCGGGGGAGGCGGGGCCTCGTTACATGCATGTCCCACGGGGGCAGGTTCGACTTTGACGATGGCGGCTGCTACGTGGGTGACTGGCAGGATGGCCGGGCGCACGGGTACGGGGTCTGCACCGGCCCTGGAGCCCAGGGCGAGTACAGTGGGCAATGGCGGCGCGGGTTCGAGTCTCTGGGTGTCTACACCTGGCCCAGCGGCAACACCTATCAGGGCCATTGGAGCCAGGGCAAGCGGGAAGGGCTGGGCGTGGAGCGCAAGAGCAAGTGGTGTTACAAGGGGGAGTGGAGCCATGGGCTGAAGGGCCAGGCCGGCGTCTGGGAGAGCCACTCCGGGGTCACCTACGAGGGCATGTGGAGGGACGGGCTGCAGGATGGCTACGGCACCGAGACCTACGCCGACGGAGGTGAGGGCGGACGAGTGCCAGCTCCGGGGGGTGGGGGCAGGAGAGAGGGGAAGGGGGGATCTGTCTGTCTGGCCAGTCGCGCAGGCCCTCCATCTGCCCAGCTTCATGCTCCCTCCATCCAACCACGTCCGCGCACAGGCCCACGCTCCATCCGCTCTCCTGCGCTGTTCTGCACTCCAT